CTCTATGAGGTAGATTGATTCGGTGACTGGGATAATTGGAATGGGAGTGTCAGAGACAGTGAGATTGGCACAGGACAGAGCGGAGTTTAGGGCTGTTGTACATAGGGTTGCTATAAGTCGCAGGCGACTCGACGGCACATAACAACAACAACATATTCCAAGTAATGGAATAGTTGGGTCATACAGAATTTTTATGTTAAACTTTTTGAGGAAGCAACAAACTGCCTTCCAGAATGGTTGCACCATTTCACAATCCCACCAACAATGTATAAGTTCCTTTCTTATTACATCCTCTCCACCACCTATTACTTGATGTCCTGTACAGTCTTTCTGATCTTCATGAAACAAAATTTTAAAAACATTTATTCTTTTTTATGACCAAAGTAATATATACTAGTTCTAAAAAGAGAACATAATAATGGGTAAGTAGCAGACTTTTAAAATATTTACATTTTTTTCCACTTAAACAATTACCATTAATATCTTTGTTTATCCTTCGTTTGTCATTTGTATGCATATTGTGATTTTATGAATACAATTTCATAACTCTTGTTTTAACCCCTATCATATGATATTTAGCAGACATTTAGGCCATTGTACCTTTTAATATTATAAACAGTTTACAGTAGAAATAACTAGCTGAAAATAATTTCAACAAAATGAAATAGGACTAAAAAATCTGAAAAATTTTGGTGACTAACTATTGTGTACGTCACTCACCCCACGTGTATTATACTCATTTTAGCAATATTATAGAAAGCAGTGGCTGATGGAGTTATTTTTCATCCTGCCATGATGCTAGGCAGCTTTCCTCTACCCCCCCACTTTTTAAAATTTAAAGTGCTTTCAGCAAAATCACCTGGAGCTGGTGGCAGAAGGGAATTATGTTAGTAAGAAACTGGGTGACAACCCCCACAATGGATTCACAGGAAGGTCTCTAATCCCTAAGAAGTAAATATCGGGCAGTGCTTATGTTACAGAGGGGCTATAGTGTAGGGGAATAAGCCACGGACTCAGTGACCTGAAATGGTACAGGTAATAAGGAGAACTAAATCTCAGGATCAGAATATTACAACATTTGTCAGAACTGGAGCACAGGGTCATAACTAGGCTAATGACAGCATGGGCTTGATACTGAATCCTGGAGTATTGTGCCAGTGCTTAAGTATTTTCTGTCTAAAAGCAGTAGATTAAGCCCCAAGTGGTCTTGCAGGTAGAGGAATGACTGCAGAGAACTCCAGAAATTAGGAATCCAGCAGGTTCTGACAGTCAGAGTTTTTAAAGGAGAATGACATAGTGAAGAGTTTGGGGAGACAATGTGGCTTTGGAAATGGAGCAACTTTAGGGACTCTTTCTAAAAGTCCTTCTAGTGACATCAGAAAAAGGAAACAAAAAAGGCTCTGGATTTTTGTCCAGAAAAATGAAAAATTACAGAATGAATTAATACCTGCAATTATATATCTTTTTGTAATGGATTTTATTATGGAAAGAAAATATATAATTGGCTATTGGAATCAATAATGCTAGTTTTTCTGAGTTAAATTTTTAACTGATATAGTAAAATGTTCTTCTTAGCATAAAATCCTAATCATATACTTTGCGATTATGATTTGAGTTGATTTTTCTTTTTAAAATTAAAAAAAACTTTTCTTCATGCTGTGAGACTAACACAAAATTAATGGTTAATATGTTGGAAAGACAGTCCAATTAACTTTCTTGGATATTGATCAGATAAGTAGTAAGATTTATGTCTGCATTCTGAAATCTCCCTTAGGTCAGCGCTTTGTTGTTTGAATAAACCCCTCAGCAGCTTTTTTTTTTTTTAAACCCCAGGAAGTACTATCTCAGGATTAATTTTTTAAAAAGACCTCTTTTCTGCTTAGTGTTTATATCCCTTTTTGTCTATTCATTTTGTGTTTCTCTAAGAATAACAGTTACACAGTTCTGCAGTTTTAATTAGAAATAAGGAGCTCTTTGTGTTTCTTGAGCTCTGAGAGTTGTATTGTTAATCCAAAGGCCATACCTCACTCTCTCTAATGGTTCCAATCTACCAGTGGCTACATGGGATAAAGTTGAACCCTCTTCTCTAATTTGATATACATCTTTGGAAACTCAATGTAGGGTAAGCTGTAAGTCAGTTCCAATTCAATGGCAGTGATTTTGAGGTTTATTTTTTTAAAAAATGTTTTTGGAGATATGAAATGCACAAACTTCCAGGAATGCTCTAAATATTTCAGGAATGCCTTTTAATTAACAGCAACTAGTAGTTAGACTCACTTCACTGCTTTGAACTTTTAAGCCTCCCTTCCACAGTATTTCCATGTAATTAGCACGTTGGTTGGTGGTTGGAAGGCTCTTGTTTAAAAAAATCAGGGGAGAGAAGGTGGGCCTTTGTGATTGACAGTCAGTTAATGGCTGAGAACCTCTTGTTTGAAGCATTCAGAACTGAGAAGGTGGCCTTTGTGAGTCCTCATGACTTTGGGCCTCAGACCTTGTTTGCTATTAGTGGTATATCAGTAAATTGTCAGTTTGTTCTATCTGGGTAACACATTGTTTTAATTAATTAGTACAGCATGTGCCTGTCAGTTTGCTGTACTGTGGGGTTTTATGGGTTCCTGTGAAGCTGGAAGCTATGCCACTGGTTTGTCAGATGCCACAAAGGATCACTATTGGTGGACAGATTTTAGTAGAGCTCCCAGATTAAGACAGACTAGGAAGCAGGATAGGCCATCGACTTCTTAAATAACAGGCTACTGAAAACCCTGTGAATGGCGACTCCTATAATAGTTCACAGTATTTGATGGATATAGTAATAGTTTTTCTTTCCTTCATCATATTTTCTGGTATAGATTGTTGTTAAAATTACAAAACAAATGCGTGCCTGTGAAAAAGTAAGGGAACACTGCATAGAAGGCACCTCTATCCTGTTCAAACTGGTAACTGTTTAACAAGTCATTGTGTAAATTCGTAGTTTATCTTGAAGTTCTGCTTATCCCTTTGCTCTCCTTCCTTTTTCTGCCTTAAACATAATTGTTCTGTGTTGTGAAGATAAAAGAAGCTTTAGTGTGTTCATTGCTTTCCTGAGTTTCTTTTCTGGTTCTTTGCCTTGCCTAGTAGGAAGGTATGATAAATTCAGGCTATGTTTTTCCTCAGTAGTCAAACTAGAGCCTTCCCACAACAAATCCTCAGCCATGCAAAAGATTCTTCTTCTTGGGATAACGCAAAGAGTAGCCAGTTTGGCACAAGTCCTTTTGGGTGGTTTTGGTTTGTTTAAAATTTTACTAGTTAATTCAAAGTGTGAAATTTCTCAGGGGTTTCCTTGGGAAGAAGACTTCTCCACAGCATGCCTTTCCTGTGTCTTTTATGGTTCAGGTTTACTCTGCTTTAGTTATATATCAGTTCAACTCTGTTTTCTTTGTATCTTCTAGAATTTTCTCAAAATTTGTAGTATGTTGATGGTGTGTCTTTCCCCCCATTCTCTTTCTGTTATTTTTGGAGAAATTGAGGAATGTGAAGAGATGAGGTATGCATGTTAGCTCAGTTAATATTGTGGACCTCCCAGATGTCTAGACTTTTTCTCTATTTCTGGTTCCACTTTTTGGAAATTCTTTCAGGGCTTGTTTGAAATTCCTCCAATTTGTATTGCATCAAGAAAGGCTCTTGCCACCTCCTTCCAAATGTACATTTAACATTAATCCATTAAAATAATTAGCTCTTTGTTCTCTGTCCG